GAAAGTTATTAATTATTTGTATGAACAATTAAAAAAAATTATCAGAAATTATATATACGAATATATTTGAATGATATAATAGAGTAATATGTAAAAAGTCTCCCTTCCAATTTCCACACGATTAATAAAAGTTCATATTTAATCAAATTTTTCAAACTAAAAAAACCAAATGAGATTTCTCAATTCTTTATTTCTTTTCGTTTACAAAAGTTTCTTCTTCATTCGTCAATAAACAAAATGCAAGGTCTTAATTTGTGGCATAACATTCTACTCTTCTGTTCGGCTCTACGAGATCTAAGGCTAGAGGATCCATCGATCCTACGCGACGTATGGTGACTGTCGCGTACGATTAAGCGAGACTGAATGCTAACTGGGCATCTCGGGCGAAGGGGGAGAGCCCCCTCGACCTGCACGTGTTTCCCTCGAATACTTTGCATCACTATTACCGCCAACTTGATGCCCCTTTGTATCGCGCATCGGAGGGGCATGCCATAGTTTCGTTCCCAACTAGGCGTATCATTGGGGGATTCGTACCGCGCGCGGAACAGAGACAAAGAGATCTATATAGGCTTTTATTTGGCAAACATCGCCGATAGACGGCACGTACAAAGGACGGCATTGTCGCATATTTACGCGGACTGACAAACGGCCAAATACTCAGCGTGCTGCACCGACTTTCCGGCGAAAAAATATGTCCGCAGGCAGTCCCGTTCGAAAAATGGCATCGGTTATTAGCCGAATCCGCGGGGGTAAGAGCAATACACGTCGAAAAAAGAGTGGATTGAAGCACGCGATGAGCGCTGCTCAAGTCTACAAATAGCTTCATGTCAATACAAAGTGTCTCGATACCTTCTCGTTTCATAAAACATTTCATTCCGTATCGTAGCTCTCGATAAATTTCTTATTTTATGTTAAATTGCATAATCATAATCATAATTATGATTATTATGAGATTACAAAGATTTAAAATGATACGTATATTTATTTAAAATATATTATTTAATGTATTAAATATTATATAAATATTATATTATTTAAAGAAGATGATTAATTATCTTTATCACTTAAAAAGTTGCACCGTTTAAATTGTCTAAAAGTTAAGTTATAATCAAGATCATCTCACTTATAATTGCTTATGCATTTTTATTTCTCCTAAAATAATAAGTAATTATGTAAGGATGCGCTTTGATTTTTATTAATTATTCTAAAATTAAACGTAAATTATTATTATTTAATTAAAAACATCATTTAAAAATGGAAAATTATTATATCGTGTATTAAATAAAGTACCATGTTCTTCGCAGATGATGTAATTGTTTCTAATTATTTAAAAAATCAGCAACATATAATTGATAATATATACCATTGATTCGAGTCTTTATTTAAATCATGCATGTCTTTTCCGCGACAGATGAAACCCATTCTCTTTATTTTTATATTGATATCTCGTCTATTTCCAACGAGATGAAAACGAGACATATGTATGTAGAGGGGGATGAAGAAAATCGTCACGTTTTATATAAACTCACCTTCAAATTGAATTTTTGTTTTACATGATTGCTTATAAAAAAGAAGATTTCGGTGGCGCCCAAGATCAATGTGACTGACGAGATACGTTACTGAATCCGGCAATGGTCGGCCGGATATTGATCCCTGCTGGAACGTCGCCGCGGGTTGAGCATCCCTGGTGCCGTTTTACCCCACCGGCTCGTTCTGGCAAGGGCGGTTCCCAACGACACCAATCGCGCTTTCACCGTCGGGTTTCCGCTGGGGATGAACCCGCCCTCTTCACTCTCGCGTCGATGCCTCGTCTATCTCCAATGACGAAGACGAGACACACACCCACGCACGTACACACATGAGAGAGAGTACAGAAACCTGCGTTGTGTCGGGGGTGATGGGGGTACGGCATTGGAGGGAGGAAAGGGAAGGATGGGGATGATTTTCGCTGTCGGCGAAGTCGGTGAATCTCGTCAAAAAAGCGGCGGACCTCACGCTGATGACATGTACGAAACGTCACGTACGGGGTGCGTTCGGTGCGAATAACAAACGAGTGGATGACGAAGTGAACGGAGAACGAGCACGGAAACATCGGGAGCAGAATCATCGTATCCATGTCCAGAATGCTGTGCAGTCGTGACATTTCGCACTCTGAAACAGTCCGGGAAGAACGTCGCGTTAAACTTACAAGTCGCAGTCCTAGCAGTTCGTCATGAGACTTGGATGACAAACGGCATTGTCCGTATCGAAGAACCGGGGAGGGCTAAACGAAGATCATCGGTGAGATTTCTGCCATCGTTTCTGCCGTTCGCTGGCTCGATGGACAAATGATTAGGATCCGATTAAAGCAAAATAGACTGGGTATCAGGGTGTAAGTGATGTGGACTAATTTAGCTTGAACCTGAACTAATTCATTGAAGTGTTGAAAAGTTACATTTAGCGTAACATAATATCGTACGATTAGGATTATTGATTTCGAAGATAAGTTTAAAGAGATTGGTTTCGAAGATAAAAGAAATTAAATGATTGATGATCAGCGAGACGAAAAGGAAGTGTAAAGTGTGATTTATCGTCGATCTGTGGTTAACAGACTTGATTTCAAAAGACGTTTCACGAAACTTAAGAAACTCGATTAAAGGTATTCAGAATAACCAGGTACTAAGAATAGAAGTAGGTAAAAGAAGAAAAAAATGACCTGAGAAAAAAACTTTTCTTTTGGTTTCTTTTAGAGAATTAATCTATTTCTTTGGTTAGGTAAAAACTTTTATTTGAATATCGGTGTTGGCCTTCAAGTTTAGGATTCCAGCGAAAGCTTACAACAACAACTTTAAAATTCTTTGCAGTTTGAAAACTTTCAATCTTCAAGGTTTAGCAAGGTTTAGCAAGAAGACACCATGTTGGAATTTTATCCTCCAGCGCCTGGTTCTTTTAATCGTCAAAGCGAACCGGGCCAATCCTTGCCGACGGTTCCATCTATTCCTTTTCGGCCCACAACTGATAATAATAATGCAGGTGAGAATAAATGAGAAATTAATCCAAATTTTATAGAAACGTATAAAGAAGTTTATATTTTCATTTGATGTATATATATATATATATATATATTTGTCTGAGAAGATATTTTAAAAACTGTTTAAAAATCTTTGGATTAATGTATATACAGAAATTAATATGGATAATAATTATTACTTTTAGAAAATTTATAGCAAAGATATAAATATCTATATATGATTGTTTAACTTAAAAAAGTATATGTGAAAGAATTAAAATTGAAATTGTTGTAAACAGTGTCGCGGTTGTTATATGAAATAATTGTTAAAAATTTCACAAACATATTATTTAACATCATTAACATCATTTCTTATTAATGTTTACGATATTGATGAGAAAATTATATTGTCAGAAGTGAAAATTAATAATATTTTTCAGAAAGTACGATATAAGTATTTTATGCAGTGAAAAATTATAAAATGTAAATGTTAATTTAAAATGATAAAATGATTAAAATAATACTGTAACGTTAAGAATTATTAAATATATATCTTGAAATACTACAATGTTATTTTGATTTGAAAAAAAATAGAGAGACAGATATTTCAAACATAAAATACGACATTATTAATTCATTTATACTTTCAAAAGTATCTTTTTTCCAAAAGATTACCAATGCAGAAATTTATCTTTTAGAAATAAAATCCTACTAAATTATATATAATATATACAAATATTTTTACGTATTGAATAAGTAAAAAATTATCGAATCTATTGAGAAACACACACACACACACACACACACACACACACACTCCTGCAATCGCGCCCGTCATCAAGTCTCACGCTGCGCGCAGTTGACACAGTCGGACCATATGTTTATCCGCACTACTGCGGATACTACTTTCCTTCTCTTTACTTTCACCTGCTAAAACAATATTTCGCCTCACTTCGACTTCACTTCGAAGTGATATATCGATGCGATCGTGAACCGCGAGCGCCGTATAATAACGCGTCGGCCGTCGTTTCTTCCCGCAGAGCCGTCCGTTTCCGTGAAGACGGAGTCTGGCCTCCTCGAGTCGATCTGTGCCGGCTGCGGCCGCACCATCGCCGACAAATACGTGATGAGAGTCGCCGAGAGGAATTACCACGAGGAGTGCCTCTCGTGCACGGCATGCGGCGCGATGCTGTCGCAGTCATGCTTCATACGCGACCTCAAGCTTTACTGTCGCACCGACTACGAAAGGATCTTCGGGGCAAAGTGCGCGCGGTGCATGGAGAAGATCAGCTGCTCGGATTATGTGATGCGGCCGGTGTCCGGCCTGATTTTCCACGTGGAGTGCTTCGCGTGTTGCATGTGCGGTCAGCCGTTACCACGGGGCGCCCACTACATCCTCAGACAGGGCCAGCCGATCTGCAGACGAGACTTCGAGCACGAGCTGTTTCTAAATAGTCCGCAAGGTGAGTGTCGTCTGTGGTGTGCTTTATGGATGTACGCGTATGTCGTAAATTCCAAGGTGAATTTTATAGGGACTACGGTACTATGGAATTATTCGGAATGGATTTCGATTGGAATTATTCCGTTTTTTACTAGAAAAGACAATAAAAATCTAGGAAACTAATTGAACAATTTTTTTATTCGAAATCCGAAATTGCGAATATTCCAAATTGAGTTGTCATTTGATCTGAAAACCACGAATATCGTCATCGTAAGCGCAAATATTCCGGCTATTACCTTTCTTTGACGTACATAAAAACTGAATGATTATACATGAATGAAATACATGACTGATTTAAAGTACGATAAAATACGATTTAAAATTAATATTATTTTAACAGCAGTAAAAAAATATTTAAACTGATTTCTTTATTATTAAAAAAATAAAATAAATTGTAATAATTTTTCTTACTTAAACATGATTGATATTACATAAACAGTAGATGTAAACAAAAGAATATTCGATGTACAGATTGCTAGAAAATTTATTTTAAAGAGCTTAATATACATATATATATGTCAAATGAAATTTTTATACATTTTAGCAAAAATCATTTCTTCTTATCCTTTTGTCAAGATAAAGAAGTCACTATGAGTTTTTAAACAAAACATAATTCAGGGTGGTTAAGTTAAATGTGTGGTCAAGTGTACACACACACACACACACACACACACACACACACACACACACACACACACACACACACACACACAGAGGAGTCTACTACTAC